GCTTGAATTTTGCTTAATTAATAATAATATTTTTTCAGCCTCTTTTAATAGAGCTCTTATAGAAGTTAAGCTATTACAAGAGTTATAGAAAAGCTCTTTTAATACAGGAGAGCAAAATACACAGAGAATGTTTACATAAATTCTGCATAAAAATTGTTAGAATATTGAGATTGCACAACTGTCCCTGATTATATAATACATTAAGTACGTGGAGTGAAATTTTTCATTAAGCGTTTGTATTTAATTTGATAGCAAAGAGATTACGTTTCGTAATTTTAGAACAGATATTTCTTCTTCATTCATCTTGCTTTCTTACCGGTAGTTGTACTCTTTATCTACTTAACTATTCGAAATTTCCCTTATCCGGTATTCGCTATATCGCGAGTTTTCTGACTCGAACTTTTAGCATAAATAACAAAAGTTTTTGAATGGTTGTAAATATTTGCTTGAGTGAGTTTTATATTCTGAAAATATCAGAACAAGTATATTAAAATAAATTTATGGAGCGTTATGAAGAATTTGGCAACCGAGAATGGAAGAAATTCTTAAGTTTATTTCTTCTATAAATGTTTTGAAATATATTTAAGAGTATTCAGTACATGAATTAGGAGATAATAAGCTTACAAAAGCAATAAACCTATCTAATTATTCCATTTCCTCTAATTTTAATTTTTGAAATGGTACTTACGGAAAATCCCGTCGACTACAGGAGACGACGTCAATCGCGTAAAACCAAAAACCCCATTTACTAAATACAAGAAAAAACATTTTATTCTTATTTTTCTTTCAAATTTAATATATTATCACTTATGTATATTTAATTTTTTAATAAAAATTTCGATTATTTTTTTATTAAAGAGCTACACTGTAAAAGCAATTAACGTTGCAACATCATAGCCCCTCAGTTTTTTAAATAAAGCGCCATTTCGTGGCCATTAACACATTTTTTTTAGGCTGGTAAGATTCCATAACTGTAAATATTCAATTCTTCTGTAGTAGGCAGGTCCCAAGTTTTAATTTTTTTTTTCGAAAATGCATGATAGAGGAGTTGGGAAGGGAGTCTTTACTCAAGAATAATAACTAACAGGTTTAATCAAGGTTACACCAAACTTGACGTGTTTGAAGAAGACTTTTCCATTTTAGGCGAGTAGATCAATACGTAATTATTCTAAATATTTAAAATGAGGCCTAGCCTTCCGTGTAGCGGTTTCTTTCTAAATTAATTCTCGGGGCTTTAACAATAATCTGTGCATTTACTCGTATATCTTTCTCGACGCTTTTATGCATGATTTTAATGAAGGAGATACTGTCGGTTGCTAGTAAGAACGCAAGTCAGTACAGAATACTTAATCACAGTTATATCTTTTCTTTAATGACCGGGAACAGCGCGAACGCAGTCCCGACTACCAAAAATTACGCGCCCCAACCAACCACACTTTGTGGAAGTGGCAGCCGTCAGCAGTCCGAAGTGCAATGGACAGCCTCCGGCCAGGAGAGCCCCCTTCTTGATCAAGGCATCTCCGACGCCAAGTAAGTATGATTTTCAACGTTTCATCCGTAGTAGCTACTCCACTTTTTTTATAGTTTTAGTGGTTGTTAAAGGTAAAATGAATAAATTTTTTTCATAAATTGCCACTATACTCTAATCGACTTATTTTTTTCAAATAATAGCTTTCGGACCTTTTTTCCTTTGAGGGACCTTCAATTGCAGATATATTTGCATCATTGCTTCATTATCGTAGGAACTCTCAACAGTTGCTTCCTTCCAGTATGTAAATTGAATTACCCTTCCTGTATGTTTCGGAATAGCTGATGAACACTGGAATACTCAGTGAACAACCGTTACAAAATCTCATGCTCTGAGATTGAGTAACTGTAAGAGTAACTCCTAACCTCCTTGAGGAAACCTCCTTCGCATAACTGGGCTCGCCTTCACGAATTTAGGAACCGGACTTGGATATACGCGGAAAATAATGTTACATTCGTGTTCCTATGTACACTGCGGAAAAAAAAAGGGGGGATAGTTCTATATCTCTTGTTCTACTAGGCCGTTTCACCAAGTTTTGTAAATATCGCACGTGTAGTTTTTAAAAAATTAGTTTTCAAAATTTTCAAAGAAATCAAATATTAATTGAATTTAGTATATATTTGTTAATATCTCTTTTGTAATTAAACTTATTTGATTCTTCCTTTCAGATTTCGAAATTTAGATTCATTCCAAATAAAATTCGTCCATTTTTTATGATTTTCTTTTAAATTGTGTTTTTAAATAATTTTTATAAATTTTTCCAAAAAAATATTTGAATTATAACCTATAACATTTTTAACATAATCTTGAAGTAGATGTATTTCTAAGCCCACCTGCAAAATATTAGAGTTTTTTATTCAAAATTTTCTAAGATATGCATGACTTTACATATTGGCGCGTTTTGAAATTTGGCATATTTGGTGAAAGCAACAATAATATCCAATGTGGTTTACGCACTTTGTTAAAATTATTTCAGAGTAGGAACAATATGACTTTTTTCCTCTCATGCACGATATAAAAAGGGAAAGGAAAATAGTTTGCCATAAATTAAGAAGTTCGCCAAGTAAATTATTCTTTGCCCAAACTGAAAAAGATTTGCCAAGATAAATTTTGGAAGTTTTTCGTAAATTTCGCACCAAATTTAACAAAATTTTAGGCATAATTTGAATTGTAGAATCGAAATATGGAAAAAAATTGGCATGCCATTTAAGAAAAACTCTGATTTTGTGTTAAAATACCTATATTAAAACAATGCTATACATAAATCTAATATATATCCTAAAGTCGCTCTTTCGAGAGATAAAAAATGCAGTTTAAATCTCGTCAATCAGCCCAGTAGGACAGGAGATACAGAACTGTCCTTTCTTTTCTTTGCTTTCCTCCTTTCTTTTCTTTTCTTTTTGCTTTTTTCTTTTTTTTTTTTTTTTTTTTTTTTTGTGAGCAGTGTACTTATTCATAAAAGCAGTGTTCTAGTCACTCATATGTTCATTCATGTAAAATCATATGCTACAGAGTACTTTTATTAATTGAGAGTACTCATGTGAAACTTAACTATCTCGAGATTTATAATTTTTGAGTTAGTATATTTTAATTAATTTATTTATTTTCCATCTTTAAATTCCAAAAGTTCATGTTCCCATGATATGGCGGCTTCCTTAATTTCATATTATTTCTAAATTTCATTATTGAAGATTTGTTATTGCCTTTAATATGAAAATTCCATATTTCCAAATTTGCTATTGCACACTATACTTGGTTTCCTTGAAAATTAACTATTAGAACCATTTAATTAAAACATCCCGCACTTATTTTCAGGCACACACACACAAAAAAAATCTTCAAAATTAATTTTGAATTATTGTCATATAGAATGAATCTTATCTTTATTTCTATGTCTCTTTAATTTGTATCCTCATCCTGTAAATATTTCAGAACACTGCTACAATGTACTGGAAGATAAAGTGAGTTTATCGCCTCATACACCTCTTGTTGAACCAGGGCAATAATTTTTTGTCAGTTTAATAAAGAATGCTGTTAGCACATGTGCCCCCATCGAAATTATGTTAATAATCATTTACTATTACTGACATCAGTCACTTTCTTTTATTATCGAAATATTTCTCAGGTATTTTACTTTTGACACTGAATAAACTTTCATTAGAAAGAAAAATGTATACAAGGTTTAGGTTTTTAGCATTAATGTAAGTGACCATACTGCTTTATATAAATACCATTAAATGAAAGTGTGACCATACTGCTTTATATAAATTCATTTGCTACACTGCATTCATTTGGATGAAACAGCAGATATAAATGATACTACTCAACTTGCTGTTTTTATTAGAGGTGTCGACAGTCAAATGAATATTACTGAAGAACTACTCGAACTTGTGAGTTTGAAAGGTACTACCACTGGAAGAGATATTAAGGATGCTGTCAATAAATAGCTCGTAAAGTCATCAGATTTGAAAAATCATGTAGGCATTTCAATAGATGGAGCCCTTCAATGGTTGGAAAAAATGTTGGTGCTATTACATCAATTTTCTATCACATAAAAGATTCAACAGCTCAAATGATTTTAAAATGTTCATTTTTTGCACCTCGAGAATCTATGTGCACAAGTGTTAAATATGTCTCATGTGATGAAAGTTGTTATAAAGGTAATTAATTCAATTAAAAACAATTTATTGAAACATCGTCAATTTCAAGGAAATCTTAGAGAACTGGAATCTGAATACGGCGATTTATTACACCAAAATTTGGTGGTTAAGTCGCGGGAACTGCTTATTGCGATTTTGGAAATTAAGAGAAGAAATTGAAACTTTCATGAACAATATTGGTCTTAATATTAGTGAACTTTCGGATGTTTCTAGATTTATGTTTTATAACAGATATAACAATGAAACTGAATGAGCTAAACCGGAATTTACAAGGTGAAAATAAGTTGATTACCGATTGCTATCAAGATATAAAAGCATTTGCAGCAAAGCTTCAGCTTTATGAAAATGAATTGTGGTCAAACAATTTGATTCATTTCCCATTGTTAAATGACTATAAAAGTGACCATAAAAACTTCTTCAAATATTCTAAGGAAATCGGAAAATTACTTGAAGAATTCAACACCAGATCCTCCTACGAGGGCAATCCCCCAAAAAAAGGTCTCCTATATTTTCAGGTATACAAAGAACCGTTTATTTTCTATAATTGCTACATCACTTTAAAGATTGAAGAATGCTTTATTTTTTCAACATAATCGCCATTTCGGTCGATGCATTTTTGTAGACGCTGGCAGTTTTACAATGCCCATGTCATACCAGCTTGCCGCCACGCCCTTTAGGAAGCGTTGAACCTCCTCTTTCACCTCATCATCAGAGCAGAACCGCCATCCAGACAAATGTTCCTTCAACTTAGGGAGCAGGTGGAAATCGCTGGGTGCCAAGTCCGGACTGTAGGGTGGGTGTGTGATGATGTTTCAACCAAAATTTTGCAGGAGATCGACGGTTTGACGGGCAACATGAGGACGGGCGTTGTCGTGGAGAATGCTTACACCATTGCTCAACATCCATCTTCTCCGGTTCTGAATTGCCCTTCTGAGTTTCTTCAGTGTTTCACAGTACCTGTCAGCATTGACTGTTGTCCCAGCAGGCAGAAAGTCGATCAACAGTACCCCCTTCCTGTCCCAAAACACAGTTGCCATGACTTTACCGGCAGATTGTGTTTGCTTGAATTTTCGTGGCTTGGGCGAAGAGGGATGCCACCACTCGCGTGACTGTTGTTTTGTCTCAGGTGTAAAGTGGAATGCCCAGGTTTCGTCACCTGTGACAATTGAGTCCAAGAAGTTGTTCTTTTCGTCTCCATAGCGGCGAAGAAATTCATGGGAAGAATCAACCCGTTGCCATTTATGGTCTTCTGTCAGCATGCGCGGCACCCATCTTGCACACACCTTCTGATACTGCAACTTTTTCGTTAAAATCCTGTGGATGGTACTTCTGGAAACCTCAGGAACCAAAATGCAGAGAGCATCCAGAGTGATCCTCCGATCTTTACGCATGAGATCCTCAACTTTCGCGATTGTCTCGTCGCCAATTGTTGGCCTCCCGCTCCTTTCTTCGTCATGAATTTCAGTACGACTGGCTGTAAACTCTCTACACCACTTGCGAACGTTTTTGACATCATTGCACAACTGTCCATACACTTTTGCCAATAGGCGGTGAATTTCAACCGGTTTAACGCCTTTTGCGTTCAAAAATCGAATAACTGAGCGCACTTCGCACTTGTCAGTAACCTTTATCGGGAGCTCCATTTCGAATGGCTGCCAAGCCAAGACTGAGCATCCGAGCGAAACACCTGCGTGCTTATGCGGTAGTGGAGAAGGCACCACTCACAACAGTGTTGCCAACAACCGTATCAAAACTTTCTCTACGTCCCCAAAAAATAGGAGACCTTTTTTTTGGGATTGCCCTCGTACATACACAAGTTTGAGGAAATGTTTACTTTATTTTTAGCTTCATTTGATGTACAGGTGGAATCAGCACATCCAAATTTACAAATGGAGCTAATAGAATTACAATCAAGCATCGAGCTAAAAAGCCTGTGCGAAGTGAATAAGATTGAATATTATCACAAATATATCCTCCAAGATAAATTTCCAATTTAACCGACACCACTTAGCCGACAGGTCATTTAGCCGACACGGACAGTTAGCCAAGAGGACATTTAGCCGACATGAACAATTAGCCGAAAAGGACACTTAGCCGACAGGACATTTGCCTGACACAAGTCGTCAGAACATTTAGCTACAGGACACTTAACTGTCAAGACATTTAGTCAACAGGATACTAAGCCGACAGTGACGTTTAACTGGCACATACCCAATAATTATTTAAACTTACTATCAATTACAAAATTTCTCGACTTCTCCATAAGTTCAATATTTAAGTTATTTTTTCACCTATTAGTAAAATTCTTTTTTCGATTCTTATAGATCTCATATGTGCTTTTAATTATTGTGTTAATTTAGCGTTGTTTGATATGTATTGTCCTGTTTAGTATATATTGGCCAAACAGGAAAAGCGCTGAAATTTCTCGTCAGGGAATATGAATTAAATTTCGAAAGGAAAAAAGAATTTTTTTAGCTAGTACGGCGGTCACTTAATTACATTTGGGATCTTCAAAAATTATCCGTAAAGCTTCTTCATTAAATCAACTGGGTTCTTTTGAAGACTTTCACATCATTAATAATTTTCTTGTTTACTTTAATGATATCAATTTTCCAATCTCGCTCTTCCAAATACTTTCAAATTTCTAATACCTAAACGTTTCATTACTATTTTACTCACAACATCATGTTACATTCTTTACAAAATCGTTTCGCTCCTCTCATAAATAAAATTTCCTTTGGCTGTTATGATAAATCTAAATAATGCACTAAAAATTGTTATTCTTGAATTTTACTTTTTATAGAAACATATGGTGGTGAAGGGTTAGTTTCGAAATATATATTATTTTATTATTAGAAACCATTAAAAAAAAGGGCATCAAGACAAACAAAGGTATAAATTATTGACCTCTATAATGAGCTGTCCATGCCACCATACTTGACATAAAAATTCTGTAACATTTTATTGACCACGCCTCTTTCTTAAAATACTTACGTTAATATTGTAGCACTAAACTGGTGCATTATATTTAATTTAGAAGTAAAGTATTCTTTACGGTTTTATTTCATTCATTACTGAATTCTATTCTCAAAAACTACCTTTTCCACTCTTCATATAACGAAAACGTTGCTAATATGCAATTCCGGACGTGGAACATCTCGGAAGAGAAATCGGAGGAGTCTGCGGAAGGAGGAGCACCAAGCAGGGCGGAGCAAAGCGAGACATCCTGAAAAGTCACCGTAATGTGGTGCCATCTATCAAAGCTAGATTTAACTAGAACAGTCATGTAACTAGATAATATTATGTATTCTTTTTTGAAAGTCGCGGTGTGTAATTTTCAATATAATATGTTATATTGTCTCATGTTTTCCTCATAAAATGTAACTTTCTCAATATCTGTTAAAAATGTATAAATTTTTATTTCACTTTTCATTAACGTTAATTTTTTTTTCCTCTTTCATTTCTTCTCTTTCTCGTTTCTGTTGTAGATACATGGTAATAGGGAAATTTTTGGTCTGCATTTTCCTAAATGCATTTATAAAGTTCTAGCCTAAAAAGGCAATTTTATTGTAAGAAACTGGTTATATATTAAGTAAAAGGCCCAGCAGCAGCCGAGCGGTAAAGTCACTGAACGCTGGCAGTTTGGTCCGAATTTCGAATCCCGTGAACGGACAGGCTGCATGGGTGTTTTTCCCATGTGTAACATATATACGAGGCAATTATCCTTAGAAAGTCCTCCACGAAGGTATCCCTCACATTAGGCAGATAGCGCTCTGGCTTTGCCGTAATTACATAAGCCAAACCTACTTCTGGCCGCAGGCCACAAGGTACGAATTCCGGTGCTGGAGTACTATCCCATATTAATAAATATGCGATGCCTAGCCTCTAGTTGTAGTAACCTGTAATAAATATGCGATGCCTAACCTGTAATTGTAGAGGGTGTATATAGCATTTTAGATAAAAAGTAGTTCCAGTGTGGCGAGGAGTAGGGCGAATCTACTTCCTGACAGGGAAAGGAAATTTTCTTTATACAGGAATGAATGTATTGTGATGTGTTGAGTAAAGTAGTAATGAAATGTGAAAGTATTAGAAATTTAAAATCATTGGAAGAGTGAGACTCATTGTCGGCAAACTGTCCGTTTCGGCTAAGCGTCCTGTCGGCTAAATGTCTGCGTCTGATTTAGAACTACCTACCTCTGCGAGTTATTTTTTTCCCAAATTAAACCTGGTAAAAACAAAGTATCACAGCAGGTTGCTCGATGAAAACATGACCAATCAACTACGATGCACGTCGACTAAATTATCCATTAATAATTAAAAAATCTCAAAATACGAGTATTTACATAAACAAATGTCACATTAATTTTAAGGTAATAAAATATTTTGAATAATATGTTGTTTCATTTTGATATGTGCTGCCCACCTCAGTTTAGCAAATTTTTACTTGGCCCACCAACGAATTTGGGTTGGGCACCCCTGACCTAAATGAACAAGAAACTTTAAGGGAAATTAGAATTTTTAAAGACACTAATGGAAAGGAAATAATGGCTGCATTACGGAGAATTTTGCGAACAGTAAACTGTATACATGTTCGTAGTGCTGAGTGCCAAAGAGTATTTTCAACAATGAACTCAATTTGCAATCCGAAACCCATATCAGAGTCGTAGCTAGGGTTTTCAACGCCCAGGGACAACTGAAGAAATCGCACCCCCTACTGCTTGCCAAGGATGGAAAACATTTAATTCTAAAATGTCGTAACATCAGTTTGGCGCCCCTTGGATTCCGCGCCCAGGGACAGATGCCCCCCTTGCCCCCTTCTAGCTACACCCCTGACCCATATCTCTTTATGATAAAGCTCTTTTTAATTTAAAGTTCATTTGACTTCAGACTCATAGGCCCTTCTCTCAGAAATGTCCAGTTGCCAACTCCATCAGTGACCTTCTTTACAAATGACACCTCGGCCATTAAATGTTTTTTAAAAAGTTAGCATTGAAAGAACTAAATTCTTATTAGCCCAAAAGGCGTCAGCCCAGAATGGCTATTAATTTCATTTTGGCATTTTTTTTTTAAATCATTAAAAATGGTAAATCACTTTTCAAATTGTTGTCACAAAATATTATTGCCCTGTGTTATATTTAAAGAAATTAAATAATGAAGAATCTAGATAAATACACTTATGTTTCTCACACTTTGATGAACCAGCGATACCTACAGCCATCAAAATTTGAATAACATAATCCTCCACCGAATATTGGCATCTGCAAGTCCTAATTGGAAATTTGGAATTTGTTTTCTCATCTATTTCATATTAATAACATAAAATCTAAAAGATTTCAAATTGTTTTTGCTCCAAAGGGGCAATTTGGCCAGAAAGACTATAAATTTCATTTTGGCATTTTGCGTTGATTCACTATAAATGGTTTACTTTTCAAATTGTTGTCATCAAAAGTTATCTCCCTGTATTATATTAAAAAAATTAACTGTGGCGACTCTGTAAACATGTGTTGTACTCGCCAACCGCGCGCCGTTATCACTAACTGTAACCGAAGATGTTTTTCAGCAACACACAGTCACGTCTCGTCGTCGGTTCGGTTGGTCGCTCGCTTTCCTCCAACGTGATTGTCTGTCGACTGTAGTAATTAAGTTTTAATATTGTGATGTGATTAAATGTTTTTGTTATAAAAAAATTGGCTCTTATGGCATGTTATGAATTCATCCTTAAAAGCACTGGCAAATTCCAATAAGCATAGTTTGTTGTTGCACACAGATGCAAACACGTGCAACATTAACTAATGAAGAATCTGCGTAAATGTACGTATTTTTTTCGCATTGGAATAAAACAACGGTACCTAGATCCATCAAATTTTGAATAACGTAATCTTCTAAGAAATATGGGCATCTGGAACCATAATTTGAAATTTGTTTTATTATTGATTTCATATTTTGTAACACTTTAACGAAATTTTGATTTACAAACTCAACGTTTTCAAGGCGAGCAAGGGTAACACTGTACTGAAAAAAAAATACCATGTGCGCGAGGATGTGTATCGGAAATTTTAAGAATATGCTCATTTTAAAATTATTTTGTGATATTGCTGTTGAATTAAATTTTATGGCTTAAATGCGAAGACCATGATATTTAATAAATAAAGGTAACACAAAAAACGTTAAAAAACGCCCTTTTGGGCGTCATGTAAAATTTAAAGGCTTCAGATTTTTTTTGTATAGTATTAATTTAATTGTTTTCAATATCACTGTG